TTGCACCTTGTGAGTTTTCTTCATCAAAACATTTCAAATTTTGAAGAATATCTGATACCATTTTACAAATATTTTTAAATTGATTTGAACTGATGAAGTGATCCTTACTTTCATTCTCAACCGAGATCTCGGGTATGAAACCACAGTTGTCAAAATTGGTGTTTTTACCCACTTTTTAGTTGTTTAAAGCGTTTGTCATGCATGTCCTGTCAATTGTGTCTAGTAAATCTTTTAGATCATTTAAGCTGTTGATAATAAATGCAGTTTTCAATTCAGAAATGTAAATGCTAAGAGGCTGGCCATACAAGAAAATTTCTAATTTTAAAGAACTATTAATGACGACAGCCCACGTTATACAAGGACCTGGTGTATAGTCAAGCTTAAATAAAGTTATGTTATCTCCATGATTTAGAGAAAACCAGCCATTTTTTTAAATTAGAAGATTTAAACAAACCAAGAAATTTTGAAAATTCGTTGCTTTTTTATAATCAGAATATGGTTTTTTGCTTTCATCGATTTTTTGTAAAAAACGTAATTCTTCGAATGTTTTCAATTTTTCATCTTTACTCTTAGATAAGTATCGAGGACAATTTGGAAAAATTGACGTTATTGCATCGGGTTTTAAATGAGGTTTTTTTAGATTAATTGAAATTATTTCACCTGTTCGGGAATCTTGGGCCGAAGTGACCCAAATGAGGTCAGAAGGGGTTGAGAAATGAAGTTCACACACTTTAGAACTATTCGTTAGATCGAAATTTTTGCGCGGAAACGCTCTCAACCATTGTTGTTTGAGGTTATCTGCTTTCGGAAAGCCAAAAACGAGCACTTTGGGGCCGTTTGGGTAATTTCCGCGACACCCCGGAACACAACACCTGTGAGGCATAATTTGTTTCACTAGAAAAACTTTGAAATTCACTAGAAACACACAAAAAAAGAATCCGAAAATACAAACAGCTTCGGTTTTATCTGAATCGCTACCAGTGTTGCCGTAAGTTTTTGTCGATTGCATTGTTCAAAGACTAATATATTTCTTAAATCACTAATTAATGTTTACCTCAATCAGGATAGCGCCTGTTGTATGTATATTTTTATGAAAATTGTCGGTAGTCAATTATAAAACGCTTATCTAATTGTAATGTATCTTCTTCTAACTTTTGAGTAAAAGCCCTAGAAAATTCGTACTATCCGGCAACACGGCGAAGTACCTGCGATGTGAGATATCAGTGGTATATCAGCATGTGCAGAAGACCAGATAAGTTAATACGGAAACCTCGCTCCTCAATAATCATAACTTGATTTGGTCTACATAGGTTAGATTTTAAAAAATAATACAATTGGCCAACTACTGGATCTACTGGTCTGTCGTATACAGAGAGAGAAGTAGTAATTTTGCTTCTTTGCAATGCAAGCAAATGTTGCAAATAGAAGATATTTTACATTTAAAAGGAAATGAAATTACATTTTACCTATTCCTGATCTATTTATAAATTATCCAACCAAGGATAATAATAAAATTAAAAAATAAAATGCCATAATGCGTTAAACAAGTTCAATATTTTATGGTTTCTATTAATTTATGAAGTTATCACTTCTGTCGAGCGTCCCGTGACGCACACCATTTTTTTTTGTTTAAATGTCGCTTTCGGCCAGAATTGCCCTATTTTTGGGTACCTATTTAGATCTACAATTATGGCGATTTTTCTCGGCCGATTTCTGTTAACGAGAATGATTTAAAAAATTGCAATACTACCCATACTGTCGTTTTTCCTATTTCAAACACTTTTTATTTGAAAGATGTATTTTTTGAAAAAATGCCGTTTTTTACCAGAATCGAAAATATGCCCGGAAAAACAAACGTCCTTGAAGCCCATAAATTAAAATTCAGACTTGTGTTCCATCTCGGAGCAGCTAAACAAAAGACGAGTCCAACGTTGCCATTTACCACGATTGGTTATTTCTAATCTAACCCAAACCCAAAAAAAAAA